CACAGACCACATAAATACTAGTAATAGACTGGTTAGTGGGCGGGGCCCGCGTTACCTAGCTTATGAACAGGCGTTCATATGAGTGTCAACAGCGCGTCAGTCGTCGTTAAAATGTGATACATGATTATTTTGTGGACAAAATAGAAATATGGCGAATTGTGCCATTATATCATGTCGCGTAAGACAAAGTTAAAAAAAATACTCCGGGAGTGATTTAATTTCATCGGTAAGTACTAAAACTCTGTATTTTCTAATATATAACTATTTTCTTGCAACCCGGTAATAACAATATACATTGGTTGCTAGCCATCGCCGCCGTCAAAAGAACAATTCGAATGACGCTCAATGAATTGCTTGCACCCTAGTGCAATCGTCGTATTACACTTGGTACTGGGTCCGCGTGTTGTAATCAAATTATCGATATAGAAACTCTGTATTTAGAAACCCGGTATTGGTTTAGTTCAACATTTTTTTAATTATAATTGGTACCGCTATTTTAAATAAACAAAATTTGTTTTACAGGTTTTTAAAAGCTAACAATTTTGATTACTTAAATGTTTGGTCCCAACACTCGCAATAGTTTTTTAAATTTTCAATTTAGTATGAACGATATATTAATGGAAAAAAGGAAATATAGATAGAAGAGGTACAGTATCGATAATTTTACATTGCCGTAAGCTCGTGGAGTATCAAATGAAGACTTTATGATTGGAGATTTTCTTTTCCTTATCTACATGATTCCTATCTCCCTACTTGCTTATTATAGGTCACCTTCGTCCGCTTGAGGTCTTAGTTTTATCACAGGCCTTAATAACATTAGCAGTTTTTGTATTGATTTTTTAGTTTCCTGCCGAATCCTTTTCAAAGGAGAAAATGGGCTGAAGCAATAGGCAGTAAAAGCTGGGTACCTACTAAATGTAGCACCATTTGCTATAGGCATTTTATGACATCACATTAAATTATATACATATGAATTAATTATATACATAAAACGTATGAACAACCGAAAAATTCATTAAGAAATAAATCATTTGGTTAATCTGGTGGACATGAAACTCAGAGTCGCCTTCACAAATTATAGTTCACATCTAAATGTGAAAACATTTCTGAAGCATTATTAGTTATTTTTCCTCAAGCTTTCATGAAACAAATGATTCGCTTCTTCGCCTTCGGAAATAAGTATCTTCATTTTCTTGACAAGCTCGTCGACGCTATAGGTGTAGTCATGTTCAACCAGTTCAGAAAGAGGTAATTGTTGAACAAATATATCATATTTCAGGGAGAATAAAGATTTTTATGATGACTGTTTTAATATTTCAACCCTTACAGTGATCGGATTGACTTGAAATCTAGTAGGTTAATGAAAGTACGATGACAGTATAATAAATCATTAATACTGTAATTGTAGCATGTGGCTATGTTGACGCCTGCGTTACGTCTGCGTTGCTAATATCAATTAATATTTGCGTGTAGTAAAACCTTATGCGTATTTGGTAACAAATGTGTGCGTGTAAAAGTCAGCTGCGCTAGTTCTCGAAGAAATTGCTTTAAATGCCGTTTCCATATGCTCCGTGATTAACCCTAATTATAGCAAGTATAAAGCAATGCCTAGTTGAATATTCCGCTAGTTATGAAACATAACGTCGATATCAATTAATATGTCACATCCCTATCTGTACATTTTCAACTTTTTACTTTTGTGCCAAGAAGGTCATGTTCATAGGATTCTTAGCTTTTATGTGACTAGTAATAATAAAACCTTATTAGATCCAAATAAGTTTCAATTCTTTTTACCAAAAGTTTTTTATTATTGTCTATTTTCGTTTGATAATTTACAACCAATCAAAATTATGTTATCTTAGTACTAAAGTAAGATTACGTTTTCAAATGTGTGCGTGTGGCGACACCGGTTCTGATACAAATGTTGCTTGATGCCATTTCCAGTCTTTTCTTTCTTCCGTGGTTTTCCCAATATTTTTCCTTTAACTTTCCAAATTTGTCGTTGACACCCGTCAATAGCTAAAGTTACTGAACGAAAACGATGGAGCCATTAAAAAGGCTTTTTTTTCGGCTGCTGTGAAATCATTTGAAATCACGTTTTTCTATAATGAAGCTATTATATAAATAAGTTTATTTTATAATTCACGCTAAATAAAACTTCAAAAGATAAGGCTAAGCGTAGAACATAATATCAGCCTTGGAAATTATATTGTTAAAATTTTTCCGGATTTTCTCCGGAAAAAAATTATTTGTTTTTATTTATAAGCATTGGAACTACACAGTCCGGCATGGTAACCGTTCGGCCACGGATGTAGTTAATGCAAATGAATAGAGTCTGCTTCTCAACAACTACTCTTACCTTCACAGGTTTACACAGCAGCATAAGCTTGTCGAACACAAAAACGTATCTCGAGCGCAGTTTCTGGTCCTCGTGCGCGCGCACGCGCAACTCGCCGTCGAGCAGCAGTCGCCCGTACGCCGCCAGCCCCGCTCCGCCCGCGCCCAAAGCGCCGCCCTCCCAGTCTATTATACTCTCCTGGGGGTCGAGATTTCATTCTAAATTAAGTCGAAGACGAATCCTCACTAATACCTCCTTTATCATGACTGACAAAGTCGAGGAATAATTTTGAAAGCAGGCTTAAGACACAAGTATGAATATACGAGAGTAGGGTTACCTATATTGTGACCGGCAAATAGAATCCGAGGTCGCGTTACTTTTGTTACGACCAAATACTGCGCTGCGTGTCGTTACTACTACTCTTACAAGTCGATGTTACATTTGTAATAATGTTAATTAAATTTTTTTCCGTACTAATAAGGTTCATTTTGCATGAGTCGATCGGCAGACACTGGCTTTATTTAAGAATTAATTTTTTTACAAACGATATTAATGCCATTTGAAAAATGTATATATCGTTACGATACTGTATACAGGATGTAAATTTATGACGGGGCAGCAAGGCCAGCTACCTTAAGCGTTGTGGTTACAGGAAAACGGTTCTAGGACATTCACAGATTTTGAAAAAATGGTACAGTCAACAAGATAAAAGAGGTTTTTTAAGATAATAGATTTTTACAAAACTGTTTTTAATGCCATTCCATCCAGTCTCTGGTATACTTACCAGAGACCGGATAGAATACTTAATTCTTATTTGTAGAGTAGTGGCCAGTTTCTTTTCTAAAAAAAAGTTTTCATTTAAAATGTGTGGTAACAGGTTTTTTGCCATTTCGAGTACTCTAACCTCAGTTCGTCCCATAGAGACTATTGATCCTTAGCAGAGACCGGATCGAATGGCATAAACAAAAAGGTTTGTAAAAGTTGCCTTTTATCTTGCTGACTGTAGGTACCATTTTTTCAAAATCTATGAATGCCAATCAAAATATCTTCAAAATTTATGGACAGTCTTCTAGAACCGTTTTCCTGTAACTACAACGATTAAGGTAGCTGGCCTTGCTGCTCCGTCTCAAACTTACACCGCATATAGTATACGTATTCTATTTAGTTGATATTAAAAAAATCATTCATCATTATAAAGTACCTATTGAACATCTGGTTTATTACATAAAAATACGTGTACATATACATGTGTAATAAAAATATTCAAAACCTACGTATTTTTATTTAATAAACCAGATGCTGTATAAATGATGCAAGCAATTTTTTTTACTTTAAGTTGTCAAAATTGAGATAGTACCGAATGCCAGTTCACAGTCGATATTCAAATATAATCAGTTCCGAGAAGTCCCGGGATACGTAGAAGAGAATGTCCACATTATTCTGTAGCTTATTAATTCCCTCAATTCCGATCACCTGTTATAACTATAATAGGCGGTAATAACATTAATTACGATATAACGCGTGCCAAAGTGAGAACAATTGGGCCCGTCACCCTACTCTTGGTAATACCTACTCAAGATGCTAAAGAAACATTACATAATTCACTATAAAAATCTCTTTACAAAGCTTACCTGAACTTTAGCCAGCAGCGCTAACACTTCGCTATCTCTTTTCACCTCATTGATGTACTGTGCCACGTCGACCATTGCCTCTTTCGCTCTTTCTAAACCACGGAACTCCTCGTGATTCTAGAACACGCACAACAATACGATGATGGTTTTATTGCTACTTAGCAATAAATACACCCTTCGTACTAGCTGTTTTGTCTATGTTTAGAGAATATTGTAAAAGTCGTTTGTCGTTTATTGCTTGCTAACATGTTGGAAGTTAATTTGTATGAAGACTATTAACCGACTTCAAAAAAGAGGAGGAGGAGAGGAGGTTCTCAATTCGACTGCACGTTTTTTTATGTATGTTACGCGATAACTCCGGTATTTGTGAACTAATTTTCATGATTTTTTGTTGGAAACAGGGTACCTCCATAGTGATCCCATTTCATTTTGAATAAAATCATCCCTAAGGGTGGCTATCCACGCATGAAGATTCATTTTTATAAATAGCGCCTAAATTTTATTATAAGGAGGAATTTTATTATTTTAATATATATTTTAATGGTTGATTTTGCTATTCTCTAATTCAAGGCCTTTTTCTCTCTCAATATACTTTGAGTAGTGAGAACTGATTTTTATTATCACCTGTGTCAAGTCCTGTAAGCGAACTAGGGGATATTTCAATAAAACTTAGCAAATAGACGTAATTCCACGTACCTTTGAGGTCGGTTTTATAAGAACTCTATACTGAGATTATTACCTTAAGACAAATGTTACATTAATATTTCTAGATACATTTCTGGCTAAATATTTCTGCTTTGGAACTGTCGCGATTTGGTATTAGTTTTATAATATCAAGCATTAATACATTTTGTCTGTTATGATACCTAAGAGTAGACAACTAACACGGCAGTCCAGGTATCTCAAATTGTGAAGGTAGATAGGGAGGTATCAGGCGTATGCTGGTGTGGACTGGTTGGTCGGCAATACAGTTGGTAAGTTTGCACAATGTTTATTACTAACTTAGATACAATATTTGTTGACTAGACAGCCAGAAGATAGAGCAATACGAATCAGTAACAGAATTAGAATGAGACGGCCATTTGTACTGAAGGTACAAGGGGGAATGAAGCGGTGGCAGAGGAAGGGTTGTACGGGTGTAGTGGAGGCCCATCATAGGGATCAGAGGATTCCACTAGTTCCGATTCAGAAGATCGATATGAGGTCAAGGACCTAATAGGACTATGAAGTAGAATGGAGTTAGAAGAAGAATACGCAAAGAAAGATACTCTATTTAAAGGCTGTTGTGATAGAAAGAATGTCGCATATGTAATTTACATTATGTGGCGACAGGAGCCGATGTACGATTTCATATCGCGTCGCGATCAAGATGGCGGGACCCTTGGGTTCGAAAGCTCGGGACTTGTTTAAAGAGCTGGGTCGCAGACTCAGAGACAGGGTCTGCAATCACCGCTCTGGGTCGTGGTTTGTTCAGCAAATGTCCATTGCCGTCCAGCGAGCCAATGCAGTATAATGGAAACCTTTGAGCCGGCCACGATACGGGGCGGGATTTTTTTGTAGGTTAGTCTAGATTTTTAGGTTAAAAATCTCTTGCAAGTCCCAGTTTTTTTATAATTTTAGTACCTATTGACGACGTCCAGTGCTGATCTTCAACTAGAAATATTAATGTAACATTTGTATTAAGATTTGATTGAATTATAATGTTCCGAAATCGAGTAGCAATTGGTTTGTGGTGAAAACCCCTAGCAACACTAAATAAATAAAATTTAGAATTTTTTAATTATGACTTTTTAATTTTTATATATTTTACATAAAGTGCAACACAGACAGCCTCTGTATAATTGGTGATTAGTATACACTCCGTTTGCCGGTGTGATCCAGGAAGCGAAAAGCCATTGGTAAAGACTAAAAATCTTTCTTCTTCATCAGTCTTCCACCTTTTATCCACATTACTGTTTTTTGTTTTAATTGTTAGCTTATGTTATGGTTTATGTGTTTTGTGAATAAATAAATGTCTTTTTTTTTAATTTTTATTTATTATTTTATTAATTTGCAAATCGTTTTCAATGTCTCAACGAAATCAGTGGTAGAGAATGCAGCTTTAATGGCATAATTAAAGTTGTAACGTTACAAATGTCGTTTATTCCGAATTCCTGGCTTCTGAGTGCCCGTAATTATTTTTTGGTCTTCAACGAGTAAAATAATCTACTCTCACATTTCGCACCCTCAAAGATAAAGTGACGTAATTCCAAAAGTAACATAATTAGGGATATGAAGGAATTGCGGTGCACCGATAAACCTAGTCAGGATATTGTTGCGCCGCTATGATTAATAAGTATTCTTTTTGTAATTATTTTTTTAACAATAATGATAAGACAAAACAAATAACAAAAAAAAGTACGAAATTAAAATAATAGACCTTTTTAACATTAAAACGAATTATGTCGTATTTAAACAAGTACGTTTTTTAAAATTGATTTTGGTAGTTCTTAAAATTATTTTTCGTATTACGACGTTTCAATATTGATGGTGCGGAACGGAATTTAACTTCTTTATTTTATTAATTTTCAATATTAATTTATAATAATACTTTTAAATAATCAATTCCCACCATCCGTTGTTACTTGCCCAATCGTATTAAATCGTAACACTTTCGTAACATCTACCTCACACAATAGAGAGATTCGCTAGTGTGGTAGCCACCGGTAATTAACGCATTCTGAATAACTGTCCTTAGCCTAACTGTCACATATCATCATAAGTACACTACATAATAAAAATATATACATATCCATAGATAGATAAACATATACATACAAATAACAATAATATTATTAATACATACATAACTATAAATACACAATAATATTAAATGCTTATATACTTTTAAAGGAAAAAGACCTTTATTGTTATCATATAAAGTAAATAAAGATATTTGTGTTTTGTATTTATATTTTTAAAGTTTTAGAAAAGGATTTAATTTTCGGTATTGGTCACTCGGTCAAAGGGTCAAACTCTCACTATTGTTTTGAATGCGCCTTATATTTAATAATAACAGTAATAACGCAACACACTCATAGCCCTGCACTAGGAAAATCCTGTATCGCGGGAGCCATGGACACACACATAGACAACCACAAATTACACCCAAACTCACGAGAGACATAAATGTAAGCCATACACATGTTTCTCCCGGCCAGGGAATCGAACCCAGGACCTCTACGTGGCAGTCCAGTATGGTAACCGTTCGGACACAGAGGCAGTTAGCGCAACAACATTAATTTTAATTTTCCTTCAGGTTTCAATTAGGAGTAAAGTCATAAGGTCCTTACGGGCTGCGTTTCGTGGACCAGCTTGTCCAGCAGAAGGTGGTACTTGAGCACCCGCTGCATCGGCACCGATAGAATGTCGCGCAGCTGTATCCGGCCGTCGCTGTGCTCCTTTTGACATTTCTATAAACAAACAGTCGATACTTACTAGAAGTTCAATAACTCTAATCAAAACAGGTTGATATTTATAAAGTACAAATAAGGCTACTAAAATCTTGTGTGCCAATATCAGTTAAAAATAAATATAGAAATGATTGGAACAACTTGTTTAGATACTGTACTGTGTAAATCTTAGACGTACATAGTAAAATAAATATATACATAATTTGTGATGAAATAGATAAAATTGACATGTTAAAACAAACGACAAGAATCGGTAAATTGCGTAATCTAAATTACCTACCAAGGTATGTTCTTTCTCCATACAATAACAACTATGGAAAGCGTGTCTGGAGATATATGTTGCCATTACTGCTTAATAAATTGCCAAGTGACGTTTTTGATAAACTTATAGATAAACCAAAAAAAAATGTAAAACGATCCTTAAGTCAATTCACTTATCAAATTGTTAAAGTTATTAGTTCTTAAGTGTAAGTTGCGTAAATTATTAGATAGGATAAGTATTGGTCAGTAATTATTTTGTTAGACGCCTGATAGCATGTGATGGCAGCGATACATAAATCTGTTAATGGTTTTTATTCGCTGTCTTGTGTTCTTTTTTGTAAACTTTTTAATTGTGAATTTAATAAAATAAAAATAAAAAAAGGTAAAAAAAAGTTATGAAAAAGGAAGTAAAAAGGAAATTATAATCAAGAATTTTAAACTGAATAACGAGAAAAAAATGTGCTAAAATACCACACCAAATACTTGATTTCAAACTAAACATATCCCTGTAAAATGTGTACCAAAGTCAGAACGGAATTCATTCTGGGGCACCCAGAACTTGTCTGAGTAGACAAGTATCAATTTAAAAGTTCAATTCCCAAATAGGTTTTACCCGGACTCGAATCCGGAAACTCGTTGTGCAGCGCTCACAGGATTCATAATGAGCTGTTAACTTTAAACCTTTTCCATCGTATGTAACGTTACAATGAATGCATTAAAGAATTAAATTGACAAAAAAAACTGTAGGTCACCGAGGTTATCATATTACGCAATAATTTAAAATACCATTTTTTTAATTATAAAATATTTATGCAACTAGTGTACATATCTGTGCACGGTACAACAATAACATGTACAATTCAAATAAAAAATATCTTTACTTCGAAAGTTAAATTTGAAATTGTCATATTAAACACTACTGCTCATTAGTAAGATATATTCATCCGAAAAGAATGAATAAGAACTCTAGGAGCTGATCTTTGCAAATAGAGATTTGCAAAAATGTATCGTTTGCAATATTTATATTTGAAGTTTCACTTATAGAAATCACCTAAAAAGCTTGACTCTGTCATCCAAGTACGCTGAAGATGTACAGTCAAGAGCACATCAAGCTTGACACTTTGTACTTTGGACCGTTCTTACCGTACGCGGCATAGAGTTGGTTTTATGTCTTAAGTGTAAAGCTTGACGTGCTCTTGACCCTGTACAAAGAATGAAGAGTGACTGGAGTCTCCACACGTATATCTCCGATGTTATGAACGGTCTATTCCAGTGGAATAGTAAGGTATGTATATTCTATGATATCTATGAGTATGTTTCTTTTAAAAAGTTACTTGATTCAAAATGAAATAACCTTTTGGTGGATTGAAACCACAGGACAATAAATACAGTAGGAGGTCTTTAGTTTGCAGTGACAAGTGTGCCAACAGTTCGTGGAGTTCCGCAAACTTGAGTACGTCATTTTCTCTTCATACGTTATGGTCTTGTCAATTACCTCGCGCAAAAACCTCGAAAATCGTAGGAAAATGCCTTACGTGGCTACTTCGGAGTGCAAAAATAATGGTCGCACTTGTAATATTATCTACGGTGGTGGTTTCGTATCATCATTAAGTCCTATTTTTTTAAATTTTAATAAATTATCAATTTTCTGTTTATCATAATCATTTTTTGTTACGAGAAACTAAGGTAAACCTTATACCTTTGCAATATGGAGAACTAAGAAGACAACACGAATTCTTCGTCGTTCAATTATTCACCGCTAAATGGCAGAACATTGATTGAAATTTCAATATAAAATCAAAACGTCGTAACTTATATATAATTTAGGAAATGAAACTATTTTTCCGGATTTAAATCGCGTATATTTGTTTGTCAACCGTGACCATGGGACCTGTAAACGGCCTGAAACGTCGGTTTTTTTGAAAAAACAATTATACGCGATTTAAATCCGGAAAAATAGTTTCATTTCCTATGTGTAACAATCGCGAAAACCTAAGAACTCGTTATATATAATTTTCTATATTTTTTATAATAGCTTGTATATTGGTTTACTTACTGCCAGCTGTTTGCTGAAAGTGGAATCCCTGGCATCAAGCGTCTTTAGTGTATCTTGAGCTGTAGTCAGGTTAGAGCAGTAGTCTCCGTACAGTAGAAGCTTCTCCCGCCATACGAGAAACACGTCAGCCAATCGCGGCGCGCCACTACCCGGCACGCACGCTTCTGTGGCTAACTTTAGTTGACTAAGGAGACCCGAGTGTATATCGTGGAGTTCCTATGGACAAAATAGAATTGTCAAGATTAATGCACAGACAAGAGCACAATCTAGCTTAACACTTTGGATCTATGGTGGCATTTCACATGGCTACTTGTGTTCACTATTGGGTGTTAGATGTACTTGGAAAAATATTTAACGAACAGACAAACATTCCGCCACTGACAAATATGTCCGTCTACAAATGGAGCCACATAAGGAGTTAAAATAATTAATGACCATAGTGTGGACGGGTTACTGCCATAATTGCCTATTTGGCTTCTTTGATGTGCGTCGAGAAACCAACCAGTGCGCGGCAACGCGAGTTTGGTGTTTGCTGTGTTTGTCGAATAGGCAAATAAGACAAATACTTTGTCACATATGCTATCTGCACATGTGACAAATAGTTTGTCAAATATATCAAATACGCAATTACAAATAGCCATACGAAGCGCGACCATTAGGAACGTTCTTATCACAATTGGCATAGAGTTCAATTTAAATCTGAAGTTTGATGTGACCTTGATTCCGTACTTATTATCCACTTGTCGCTTAACAGATGTAGTTCAAATGCGCGCTTTTTTTGCATAAAAAAAATATCTTTCATTTCAAATAATGTTTATATTCAACCCTCGACTAAATTATAAAAAAAATTCGACCTCAAAAGTTCGTGGAAGATGTATGAAGTTTATTGTATTAAAAGTGCGCGAAACCGGACTCATCCCCTGGTTTGCCATCCTTAGAGGTGGTTTTAAATTTAAATGGGACCAATACTGTGGTACCCTCTTTCCAATAAAAAAATAATCATCAAAATCGTTTCACATATGCAAATACTTTCGAGCAATCGCGGAACATGGAGATCGAGCACAAAGAAAAATTCCTTGGATATGATTGGTTCGAGTCGGTAGTAGCTTAGTTGGTTAAGAGTGGCCACGCCATGGCAACAGACACTGGTTCGAGTCCAGTTACTTCGAAGGAATCTTTCTTTGTAATAAATAACGCACACACTCATAGCGCCGCACTAGGAAGACCCTGTATCCCGGGTGCCATACAAATATTTCTACCAGCCCAGGAATCGAACCCGGGACCTCTGCATTGCAGCCCAGCAAGGTAGCCGTTCGGCCATGGAAGCAGTCAATAGTGTTTGATCTTTGTATCAACAATAATCACAAACTTGTGGAGTGTCCTCACAAGAAAAATCATGGGAGTAAAAAACAACGATATTAAAAAAACTGACCTTAATGCCAAAGAATATAACTTGCGCATCCTGCGGCTTGAGGAACGGCGACAACGGCCGCATGAAGTACTTGATGATCTTGCTTAACACGTCGACGTAGTTGCATTCTGTGTCCACAAGTTCGCGAATCACGTAGTCCCTCTTCTCGAGACTTAGCGATGATATTGCTAACTAAAACGTGACTCGGTTTTAGATGATGTTAATACTTACTAAGAGATTTGTTTTCTTGTTATGAGAAGCGAACCGGTTGCTTTCCAACAGGTCGTGCTGACGGAACACAAACGGATGCGTCGGATATTATTATTCTAAGATTCTGCAGCGTTAGCACGACAGGGCGCGATGTATCGCTTCTAGCGCAAGTCAAGCCCCATCATGCTAGCGCTGCTGATCTTATTAATAAAAGTAATTGGATAAAAAGGTATAAGCCCAGATAATTAGTAAGTACAGTTGAAGACAGAGTTAGCTTACCATTAAGCTTAGTTAGCAGTTTATTGATACCGTAAGTTGTAGAAAGTTTAAATTACAATTAGTGGAGAGCAGAGAAGAAAAACCTAACATATTTGTTTCGGTATGCATTTCCTAAGTATAAGACTTACAATAAAAGTATTTTAATTGAAAAGTCATATAACAAAATTGAAGAGTATGTTTTAGATAAAGATGTATAGAAAGACGACATGGGTCTAGATTCCACACAAATTTGATTCAAAGTATTGAAGTAAGTTGTAACTAGCATTAGGTATACTTTTCAGGGAAACGTACATATATTCAATAAGACCTCCGATAGTATGAAAAACCATTTTTTTAAATTTAACTAACTCCTGCAATAAAATAAAATAAAAAATAAAATAAAATTTTGTCCTTCTGAGATAATGAAACGACGAACTCACGTCTGCATTAATAAAAAAAAATGTCAATTTCATTTAAGACAACTTACACTTGATAAAAAAATTGACTATGCCAAAATTGTTTAAGAAAAGCTAATACTCTTTTCGTAAGATGACGAATGGTTCTTACGACAGTTTTCCTGTATCTCCTATGGTTCCAAATTCCTTCATATTGTCCACATTGAAAAAGCACTATATAAAACTCGTACATAAACAATTAGCTAAGAAAGTTCGCTTTTGACAAAAATATCAGATATTAATCAATAATACAAAATATCAGTAATTATGAAAACATTCTCCCACTAGATGTCATTAGTGGCGACGAATACCGGAAGCCAGTACAAAGATCTGTAAGAAAAAGACATGGGAGAATTTCGACAGCTTGATAACTTGACCTGTGGCTCAGTTGGTAAGAGCAATGCTACGGTGCAGCACGGTCGTGGATTCAACTTTATATTAATAATCATTACAAAACTAGTGGATTATCAAATAAAAAAATTCAATAATAAATTATCTCTTGTTAGCTAGCTCTGTCGCCGACTGTACGCTATTTACATGCAAAAATTCTAGACAGGTAGGCAGCTATAAAAATTTAAGCGTAGAAATACGTACAAGGATACTCATGCATTTAAATAATTCGTACCATTGGTATAATAACGCCATATGCGATCACGCGTCATAAACGCTTTTATCACATGAAAGTGATAAAAATAATACGAACTACATGAAACGAAATATACATATGTGAAATTTTATCTCTCCTATTGAAGCATAAAAAAATTGTCGACCATTTTCGTTCCTAAAATCTTAAATTTACTCATTTTGCAGATATGGCCTTTTTACACCAAGGGTGTGAAATATATTATTAAAATTACGTCGGCGTTTGGTGCAATTTCCGGTTATTCAGATTAAGGAATATGGTTCGTTTTCGTAATGACAAGTTCAATTTTCAATTATAAATAATGTATAATCAGTACAGAGTACTAAAAAAACCGACTTCAAAAGTGATTCATCCCCTAGTTTGCCACACTAAGAGGTGGAATATTTTCTTCAAATTGAAATGGGGTGCCTTCTTTCTAACAAAAAAAAGAATCATCAAAATTGGTTCACAAATGCAGAGGTTATCGCGCCATCGAGTGTGGTTACATACTCGACGTATCGCGCATTCCTTGCACAAATCTTTGTCACGTTTCAGAATCTGTTTTATGTGTCAAAGATTGTTTTTTTGTTTCTATGATTGTTTCGTAATCTGATATGCAGCAAATAACAATATAGAAAGCTATTAACATTACCTGTTATATCATATTTGTCCTTGAACAAAAACGTAAATTCTAAGAGCTCTGATATTGACGTCATTATGAACTGCATCGCAAACAGGAAATTGATAGAGAAAAACAAGTTTGAAGAGCATCAAAGCTTTTTCCTTTTAGTTATATTGAAGTTTTCCTGGATTTTTATTTTTACATCAAGGTCTCAGTGAAGTTACAGGCGCAGCTATCGATCGTGTGCCGTTGGTTCTATGAAAAGATATTCTGTCGTCCTATAGAAACGTTCATACGATTTTAAAATGTATTGCATGATATTCAATGTTTATTTACGAATGTAGATTGTTTTACAGGCTTTACTTTGAAACTGTAGTATTTTCAACGCTAACAATAGTAATATAACGTGCCATACACCCACACCAATTACGAGATTTCAAACTAAGGAATGATTTGTACTCGGAACTTATAGACCAGAACTAATTTCGAAAAGTTCCGCTTCCAGTTTAGTTTTACCGGGAATTGTCACCTAGAGACGACACAGTGGTAATCGTTGCGGCGACGAAGTGGTCAAAACTATTTCGTATTAACTAGAAACAAAATACATTCTATATTTTCGATGAACGGTGAGGTATTTGTATGAAAGGGAGGCTATTCTTCAAAATGGAACGTTCAATTATACGCTTTCGTACATTGATATGATAATATGAGATGTAATAAAGTCACACAAGGGAGTCATCATACTTATCAGCATGAAAACGGTTTGAGAGCAAAAAAGACGCGTCGCTTCCGCTTAACGCAAATCTTTGTCGCACTTATCAAGGTTCGAAATTATCATATTTATTGTCTTTAATAATTATAATGGTAATTATCCATGCTGAGTATTATTGATAATTTTGTTCCTGTAATTTTTGTTCAAAAATGATAGCTTCCGTGGTCGAGTGCTTTGTACACTGGTTTTCATGGTGTCGTCATCTTTGAGGTCCCGGGTTCGATTCCCGGCCGGGTCAATTTAGAAACTAACTTTTTATATTGTCTCTGGTCCGGATCTTTGTGGTACCGTTGTAGTTTCTGATTACCATAACAGTGGTGCTTTAGTTACTTGTTTTGGGATCAAAGTAACGGTATAAGTATGATATTTATTTATTTTTAAGATTAAATAAACACGAAAAATCTTCGGGAAAACGATTTGGCTTGCGCCTTTTTTTGAGACTGAACGTTTGATACGGGTCTAGTTAGATCAAAGAACTATACTATACTGTAACTTTGTATTATAGTAATATAGTATATTAATATTGTGTAGCAGTTTAATAACAAAAGTCTTCCAAGTTTCTGTTTTAATGACTTTATAGAGAAGTGACCAAACACATCACTATACAATAAACATGGCAACATTGTTTTTCAAACATTCGTTATTTCAAATTGAAAATCCGATCATAAAGGAGTCCTTACCAGCAACACCGTCAACCTAATGCCAACGTATAATATATGTTAGTATGCATTAGGGACGCCGCAGATGTGAGTTATGGCATTTAGAGATGCGGGCGCGGACGCGAATATTTCATCGTTGAAATCTGCAGATGCACAAACAGACAACTGCACCAATAAAATAATTGGGGATTTGGTGATCATTGAATTAAAATTAAGTCAATATACATTCGTTATTTTTTGGTTAGAAAACAAACCGGTCATTCTCGGACTAGCGTAGTACACTACCTAATTTTCGTGGAAATTTTTATTATTCAAGTATATTATCGTCTAATTATTAAATAATATTTCACAATACAATGGTTGATTACTCGAATATTAAATAATATTGCACGATAAAAAAATAGAACATTTAAGTAATAAAAATTGCCATGGAAGTTAGGTAGGGAACACTAGTCCGAGAATGACCGGAACATGTAGTTACCTCACTACACGCTGCTGAATTCTTTGATTAGCAAATTATCACTAGTACTCGGCACGGATATTATCGCGTGACCTGTTAAACTCTGCACCGATTGATTCGAATGTCGTATACGGAAGCAGATATTTAAAAATATGTATGCGGATGCAGAAGCAAACGTCTATCTACGGCAACCCTAGTACTGCTTCCTTATTTGGAACAGCGCGTAAGATCGCTCACACCTATACCTAGAGAACAGAGTTCAATCAGAGTCGGTTCGTAATTGGAATGAGCGTGTGGGTCTTCGGTCACGTGACCATAGGAAATAGTTTCTACTGCAGCTCAGATCTGCGCAGTTGGTACGTACGGCATAATAAATTTCTTACAGGGAAAAAAGTGAACCAACTAAGCAACGTATGAAAATGCTTCTATAATAATTTGACGAGCTCGGTAGTCCAACGGTTTCCACTGTCAGCGTTGGATGTGGAGGTTCGATTCACGGTAGGACCAATTTGGGAAATTATCTTTTCTAAATTGGTTCTGATCTGGGTGTTCTAGGAAGTGCCCCAGAGTGGATTTTGCTCTCATAGTAAAATTCCCTAGTTCGAGACCGGGTCACTGGCGTGGTTGTTTGGCACATTATTTTATTATTATAAAACTATAGTGAAACAAAAACTTTACACTAAAGATTATTATATAGCTTCTGCGTAAGTAAGCATGCTTTTTGCCATCCATGTGGATGACAAAAATCCATGATCCGTTTTTCTGGTTGCCTCTTTATTTGAAATAAATACTGTTAATGATAGGTACATATAGGAAATGAAACTATATTTCGGATTTAAATCGTTGTCTGTAACAATCGCGAAAATCTAAAAATTCGATATGATACGAGCAACCCCTAGAGTTTCTTACTCATTCTTCTCAGGAAAATCTGCCTTACGAATGAGTAGTAGAGTTTAATCAAGTGTAATTTGTTTAATTATGAAATAACGATTATTAGCGTTTGAGCTTAACCTCTGTCACCCGACACATGTTCCCGTATAAAGAGACATTTTAATTAACACGTGGATCGTGCAATACGCGTGTTCCAACTCGACACCTCCAATGAACACTACACCAACTCAATTTTAGGACCTG